TTGCTTGCCCTGGGAAAGATCAAAATTCGAAGTACAGTTTTGTGCCATTATATCCAAAATATGTCAAACCATCGTAAGCCGGGGACCCTCTGTGTTGCCATCTTAACAATATTAAGTCTACTGATCCTCTAACATGAGATATCTATTTATTTAGATCTTTTGTAATTTCTCTCACAAATCTTGTATAGTTTTTCAGTATATAGAAGCATTGTACTTTGTTAAATTTACTTGTAAGTATTTTATTGTTAAGGCTGTTATAAGTGGAATTTTCTTAATTTCATTTTCAGATTGTTCATTGCAAGTGTATAGAAATACAGTTGATGTTTGTATACAAGATCGTGTTATCTGTGATTAGAATAGTTTACTTCCTCCTTTCTCATCTGGAGGCATATTATTTCATTTTCTTGCCTAATTGCCCTGGTAGAACCTCCACTACGATGAATAGAAATGGCAAGAGCGGCATCCTTGCCTTGTTCCTGATCTTAGGGAAAAGCTTTCAGTCTTTCACCATTGAGTATGATGTTCGTTGTGTGTTTTTCAGATGCCTTTATCAGATTGAGGAAGTTCCCTTTCGTTCCTAGTTTTATCATGAAGGAGCGTTGGATTTTTTTGCTAGATGTTTTTTCCACATCCATTGAGGCGATCATGTGGTTTTTGTCCTTTATCCTAATGATGTGATATACGAGTACTGCATTGACTGTTTTCTGTATGTCGAATCACACTTGTATTCCTGGGATAGATCCCACTTGGTCATGGTGCAGGCTCCTTTTTATGTGTTGCCATGTTCATTTTTCTTGTCTTCTGTCCAAGAGGTAACCACATTTTATGGAGTGTTTGCTGTGCGTCGTGTGTGGGTTTATGGGCAAGACACTAGCAGTCTGTACTTCTGGCTCGAAAAGAGTGTGGGTGTCTTCTGACCTCCTGGCACCACACTTCCCCACTGGCACCTCAGAGTCTGACTTGTAGATCTGTGGTGGCCAGACTGGTCCATGGCCCACGATGCTGGTCACTTTCTTTGAACCCCTTTGAGGGTGGAGACAACACCCTCCCCACCCCTGCAAAAAAAAAAAAATTTTTTTAAAAGAGAAGCACACACACATAAAATCCAGCCCAAGAACCTTCTCCTTTCCCCTGATTGTGTGGCCTGCTGGTGAGGGGTCAAGTTGGCCAACAGTGGGTTCTGGGCGTGGTTTTCCAATAACTGTAGAAGTTTGACCTTTGTCTTATCTCTGAGCTTCCAGGGGGAGGTGACTAAGATTATCTTCGTAGTTTTTCTAATTCTCCCTCTGGGGCTCTTACCCTGGTGTCACCAATAGATAGAAGCCAGCCATCCCTGAAGCTGGAGAGGAGAAAATTACTTATTTTCATTAACCTTTCAGTGAAATTGAACATTTCCTTCCATCATGAAGGTTGGCAACAAATACTTGTGTCATCAGGAGAAATCACAGGTGTTTTCGTGTCCCGTTACAGTTGTCACAGATTCTTGATCTATTGTTTATGCTCATCACAACTTCAGAATGACTATTATTAGATCTGCCAGATTTTATTTAGTATATTAAAGGAAACCAGATATTATTATATCACACAGTTGTTACTTTACTATTTTGACACTTCCATTTGTAGCTGTGTATATTTTATACCTTTAGAATATCATTCTGAGGACAGTCCTATTCCTTTCCACATGCCAGAGGAATCATTCACCTCTCGACTCACCAGCGCCCCTTTCCAAGGGGATGACTTCGCACATCCCCAGAGACTGGGAGTTTGGCCTTTAAGAAGGTGGGCACAGGCCCCTGGGGCATAGGAAGCAGCAGGTGCCATGGGAGAGAAGCCGACCCAGCCCAGAGAACAACACAGTCCTGATGACACGATTCACTGTTTAAAGCTCAGCCATGCAGAGAGCGGGGGTGTATATCCTTCAGGCTTTGTTTTGTATATATTGTAGCCATTTAAAAGCACAGACACCTCTGTGCACTGTTTGATAGCCTGAATTACTTAATTATGCATCATATACATCTCCATATAAAATGTATTTCTAGAACTTTTTAATAATAGCTTGAAAACATAGAAGCCACAGAAACAATGTATGATTACTGTGAAGAGCTGAAACACTGGGCAGGCAGTGAAGTACCAAGTGCTTCTGGAGGGGTCCCGGAGGGGTGAGCCTGTTCTCTGTGGCTTTTGATGCTTATTGGAAAATGGCTCCCCCAAAGTTGCGCCACCCCCACCCCCACCCGCACTGTGAGTGTCTGTCTCCTCAAATCTTTGCCAGCACTGTGTATAATTTTCCTTCTTTTTTATCTTTGCTGATTTGATAAGCTATCATGTTTTCTTTTGCATTTCTTTGATTCATTTGTGGTTGGATGGTTTCGTTTGGTTTTGGCTCTTGGTTTGTTTGGTTTTTTTCTCTCATGAATCACTTCAGTGTTTTTGGCGATATCAGTCAGGGTCCTGGCAGGGCGCAGAAGCAGCCTCGAAGGCTTTACAGGAAAGTAACTCACCAAGGGAACCAGTGCGGACTGCAGGGCAGAGGAAGCAGCAGGGCTGGATCCTCATGGGGGACTGGGAGCCCCTGGAATCCTGGGGGCAGGTGGGAGGGACCAATGTCTGGGTGGGTACCGCTGTGATGGGAGAGGATTACAGCATGCGGGGGTGGCAGGAATAACCCCCATCTCTCCCCTTCTCTCCTGCCTCCCATTGGGGGCTCGTGCTGGCTCCAGGGCTCCAGTGCACAAGATCCCGCCTTGAGGACAGGCTGCCTCTGGGGACAAACGGAAGAGCTATCATATCGGCCTTGTCTATGGTTTCTTTCTGGGCACTTGCCTTTCAAGGCCGATGAACCAGCAGCCAGGAAGTCTCCCCACGGGGAGCCCCTCCTGCTTTAGGCAGCCTGGGGATGATGAGCAGGGACGCGGTAGCCACCATGGCCGGTGGGTGGGCCTCAGTGCTGCCATCGCATGCTGAACTGGTGTGGCTGTGGACCCTGGGCCTTTTTTGCATTTTAATTCATGTGTTGTGCTATGTATAGCTGTACAAGTTTACTATAAAGAGTTTTGTAGACAGGCAACACATGGATCTGTTGTGTTTTATCGCAGGTAACTGTAACCCGTCACGTTTTTTCTGAGTCAGGCCCTAGCCCAGTACAGGGCCTTCAGAACATGCGGGAAGAGAAGTATTCTTCCCCCAAACTGGAACATGTATATAGCAGGGTTGTCAGTTTTGAAAAGGACTTTTAAGCTGTCTTCCCCAGGTTCCCTTCTGCAGAATGCCCCAGGACCGAGCTGGCTGCTCCTGCCATGTTCAGGCCTTGTCTTTAGAGAGCTGGTGGTCGTTCCTGTGGAGAGCGCTGTCCCAGTAAAGCTGCACAGAGGCCTCCCAGGGGTTCTCAGCCGAGCCCCTTGGCTGTGGGGCTGTCTGATGCCCTGCAGGAGGGTTAGCTGTACCCCTGACTTCTACCCACTAGGCATCAGTAGCCCCTTACTGCCCCGTTGTGGCAGCTAGAAATGTCTCCAGACATTGTTAAATGTCCCCAGTTCTCCCCCAGCTGAGAACCCCTCCTTGAGGAATGCTGGCACATGTTAGTGAACATGTCACTGTCTTTAGTGCCGCTGATTTCAGAAGTGTTCCCAAAGGGCCCATGGCCTCTCAGCGGTGAGTATACTGGTGTGATGTTCTACTTGTTACGTGTCAGGTTAGTTCAGGAAAATTTGTTCTTCGAGACAAATAGTTTCTAGCAGAGTATTGAAGATGCTGAGAGAAAGGACAGCTCGGTCTGCAGAGTGGTCAGGCTGGGTTAAAGGGCTTATTCGTGCAGAACAAAATGGTGTTAAAGCATGGTGTTGTCTTTCCTGTGTGCTGGGGGTGTATGGGCCGGGCCGGGCTGGGCTGGGCTGGGAGACGGGGCCATGCTGGGACCTGTTGATGGGAAAGGCAGTCTCCTTGGCTGGCCTGTCCGAGCGGAACCAGAGCCTTGCTGACAGCCGCTTAGAGAGGGTTAGAGAGTGCCAGTTACACAGGGCTAGTGTGGAAGGTCATGGGAGGCAGGTTGCTGTGAGTGACATGGGCCATCACCAGGGAATCATTGGAGGTGACGTAGCACTTCACTCTGTCCTTAGAGAACTGATTTGCTCTCAGATGGTGGGTGGCTCTCACACTGGAATCCCCGATCCTCGATCTTGCATCTTCTGGTCTTGGGGACAGACCAAGGGAGCTGCTGATGCTAGAGAACACCCCGTGGGGGATGCCTCAGGAGCAGTGTATGAGGCAGGTGGTCTGTCAGGGCTGCCCTGATGAGCCTCTGAGGTTCTTTGGGGCCACTGGGGTGACATGGGTGTCAGTGCCTCCTCTCTCTGGTGATGGTCATGTCCAGAGGGTCCTGCTGCCACCTGACCCCACAGGTCTGCAGTTGAACTTGTGAACTTTGAGTCACACAGTCCAGTACCAGAGATCGCAGGATGTTGCGGAGGGTCCCCGGCCAGGTCCCCTGAGTCTTATTCCCCTTAGAGCCCCTGACCTCCCTGAGCAGTTTGATACAAGGAGAGGGTATCCCTGCCGTGCGCACAGCCTGCATCTGCGCATGTTCAGTGCGTGCTTGCTGGGGTCCGGGTATGTTTTAAGCTCCACAGGCACGTCAAGATGCTCCAGCTACCAGAATACTGGGTGAATGCAGCTCTAGTGCATCAGTGAGAGAGGTGCCAGGAGAACATGAGGCAGGGAGGGGTTCAGAAGGCGCTGCCTTGGGGATCAGGGCAGGTGTCACTGAGCAGGTGACCTTTGAGCCAGCCCTGGAAGGAGACGGGAGAAGGTGTGAAGGGAGGTCCCCGGAGAAGTTAGATGTTAGGGATTGTGCAGTCCGATTCCAGGGGACCAACCAGTGCTGTGCTGACAAAAAGGTCCAGTTTACATGCTTGTCAACCCTGACGTCCTGGTAGACGAGCGTCCACGATTGTGCATGCTTTGTGTCTCAGCGTGACCTTTTCCCCTTTTCCTTTTCTTCTCAGCCAGGGCCAACTCGTTTGTAGGAACAGCCCAGTATGTTTCTCCAGAGCTGCTCACAGAGAAATCGGCCTGTAAAAGGTAACCTGCATTTTTCTGTTTCTGATCCATAATTTTTTTCCCTGATCCATAATTACCTTTTCTCTAAAGTAGCTAGTACATATTTTCATGTGAAATTAAGAGTTAAGAGAGTGCCTTTTCGTGGCCTTTACCTAACTAAGCCTAGTGTGGGAGAAGTTAGCATTTTTGCCTTTAACCAGTCGTACCTTTCTTTCCTCTGATAACCTGTGTACTGCTTTATTGTTACACTTTATACTTCCTGGGGCGGTTGCTGTTTTATGCTTTGAGATTGGATCTTGTTCCCTTAGGAACAACTATTCAGTGGTGAGAATTGTGGCGGACAGGCTTGTGTTATTTACATGAGGCTCCTGCCGTGTCCCGGAGCTTGGGGATCCTTGGTGCTGCCTCCGGCTCTGGCAGCCTGGCAGTGGCGGCGGCCACAGGTCAACTGTTTAGTGTAACAGGCTCTGCAGACTTTGGGACAAGGCCCAGAAGGCAGCATGTAAGGGAGGGGACAGAGCCAATTTCCCAGCAGGGGCCCAGTCAGCACGAGCCAGCCTTGCTCCCTGCTTAGACCTGGGCTAGGCCTGGCAGTGGCTGCAGAGGACATGGGGGCTGCAGTTCTGCTCAGAAGAGCAGAGGTCTAGAGAGTGGAGAACGGTCAGCAACAGCCCTGGCAGCTGGGCAGTAGAGGGAAGGAACATGGGGGCACTGGTGGCCAGGAATGGGGACAAGTCTGGAGAGCTGTCTGTCGGGTGGGCATGACGCAGGTGGAAGACTGAGAGGAGACAGTAGAATCTGGGGTTTCAGAGAATCTGGGGAGCAGTTCCAGTGGGTGACAGGCTCTGTGGTTGAAGCTTTTCCTTGGATTCTTCCTGCCCGGGGCCAGTCAGACATTCGGCTTGCTGGCACCCTCACTTGAGTTGACAGGGTCACAGGGTCAGTGTCTTGCACTGCAGGCTGCAAGGAGCCGCCACCTTAGAGTGACAGAGCGATGGTGCCAGAGACAGTGGAGGAATGAGTGGTCCTGGGGACAGCAGCTCTGCTTCTGAGTATTACAGCTCCTTAAAAACTCTTTAGATGGTGGAGCCATGGGGCACAAACATGGTGAAGGATGGAAGGATACTCTGAAAGATTAAACTTAGGCATCTTAGTGGTCTCCAGGCTTCTTTTTTTTTTTTTAACATTATTCAGTCACCAGATTTTGAGCTCTTCCCATGGGCTCGTAGGTCTGGATTCCCCAGCCAGGGCAGTTCCACCGCCCAGGGGACATTGGGCTGTGTATGGACATGGTTTTGGTGTCACAGCTTGGTGAGGGTGAGGAGAGCGTGCTGTTAGCATCCAGGGGTGGAGGCCAGGGGCGCAGTCAGCATCCAGCAGTGCTGGGACATCCCCACAGCAAGTATGGCCGGCCCTGATGGCCACAGTGCTGAGGCTGAGGCACCCGCCTCCGGCGGTGAGTGGTGTTGGCCAGATTCTTGAAGTATATGTCACTGCTGCCTAAGAACTAGGCTTTCGTCAATTTGGAGTTCACTTGTAGGGTGAGGCAGCTCGTTAGCACTGACAGGGAAAGGTCTCCAAGCTCCACTGAGTGAGATAAGGAAGACACAGAGAGGTCCCCTTCGGTGTGAAAGCTGGAGGGAGAATGTCTACCCGGGTCCATTTGTTCTTGCATTTACAGTTCTTCAGAAGGACATACAAGGAATGGATAATAGTGGTTATCTGTGGGGTGAGGCAACAGGGCTGTGAGGGAGACATCATGTTTATTTTTATATGCTTTTTAATTTTTTTAATGTGATATTTATTCAAAAATAGTTAAGCATTTTTTTCCTGATTCTAAAAGCGATACCTATTCATTGAAAAGAATTCTTAGAAAATATGTAGAATAAACAAACCAAAAAACACTCAAAAGTCTCCAACCCAGTTACAGTCACAGATAATGAGTTAGTTTATCTTCCCAGTTATTTTTTTCTATGGGTTTTATATGTATTTATGTAATTTTTATACAACTTGAGGTGATACTGAATAACCCGTTTTGAATCCTGCTCCTTGAGGGTATGTAACGAACATATCCCCGTGTCAGTAAAGTTATTGGCAGACATCTTTAACAGTTGTATAGTTTTCCAGCCTATGAATTTATCATTCATTAGACTCTTCCTTTATCATTGGGTGTTGAAGTGGTTTCGTTTTTTAAGCACGATCTGGCATGTTTGCTGTGTGCTGCATATTCTGTGCTGTGGGACAGAGGGCACGCCTGCTCATCCAGTGGGAGAAATGGGGTGTCTGCCAGGCAGCACCCGGGCTGCCCCAAGGTTGCCCTTAGTTCTTCTGTTGAACTTCAAGAAGTAAAATGACTAGGCCTAACTGAACATTTAAAATACTTGGTACATACTGCTTTCCAGAAATGTTACTCTGGCTCCCTCTTTAGTTTTTATTATATTAAAAAAAGTATTTTAGGGCCGGCCGAGTGGCTCAGTTGGTTAAGAGCTCACTCAAGGGTTTGAGCTCTGAGCAACAACGGTTCAATTCCCGGCCCGAGCTGAGCAGCTGCTGAGCTGCCAACCAGTGGCAGGATGGCTCAGCTTAAAAAAAAAAATTTTTTTTTTAAATGATAAGATACTGGCTGATGATAAAACATTCAAATAATTCACAGAGGTAAAAGTTCACTCCAGGCAGCCCCTCTCCCTGTGGACGACCCTGGGAAAGCAGCAGAGACAGCCCTGCTGTCCTCTTTGGCCACTTCCACACCGAAAGGCCAATGCTCTGCGGTCGGCGTTTTTCTTGTGCAGCTCCACTAAACAGTGGAGAAAACCAGTGTAAAAACTACTTATTAAGTAGAATGTAGACTCATTTTTCAAATGCCCTTCACTCTGTCCATCTGTGCATTGTGACTCAGATGTGATTGGTTGCATTTCTGACCCACATCGAGAGCCTCATCTGTCCCCGGGCCGGCAGTGCTGGGGATATAGAGCCTTCACCCAAGGCCCCGCATGGCGGTCGGCCTGGCGTCCCCACCCACACCCTGCGAGTTCATCTTCTAGATGCCAGGCTGTGGCCTTTTCCAGAAATGGACTGTGTCCAGCCACCCCTGAGCTCTGCGTACACTTAGGGCTGTGGGGGAGGCAGCTGGTAGTGGGGGGCGAGGGCTGAGCTAGGAATAGAATGCAAAACCTGCAGAGAAAATCAAATAGGCAAAGTAGATGTCAGCCGTGAGCTCCGCGATGGCACTGAGGGGATAGACTGGGTGAGAGCAGGCTGGAAGAGGGAATGACTTCTAGGGCGAGGAGAGCAGCTTCCCCTCACCTCCGGGGTCCCTGCCAGCTGGCTCTGGAAGTGACTCAGGGCAGCTTAGAACTGCAGTGTGTTTCTTTTGAAACATATAATTAAAATGTTTATAAAGGGGGCAGGACTTCGCACAGAGAGTCCGAGAAGCGAAGGACGAAGCTTGCTTTGTACACGTCCTATAGTCTTGTCTAACTTGGCTCCTTAGTATATGTGAACCTGTGTCTGCATCTTTGGGGTACACACTGAGTGAGCTGTGAGAGAATCTGGTCCTTAGCTGTACCAACCTGCCAGTGCTGTGGGACAAGGCCTCCTAGCCACGCCCCCAGCACCCTCCACCCCCGGCACTGGAAGTAGGGGTGTGCAGGATCCTCTGGGCCCAGGTTTCCTGGGAGGCCCCTCGAGAAGGGCCTGGAGCAGGTTCCCACCCTCACACTGACCTGCTTTGAAAGGAGAGCAATAGATTGAAGGCTGAATGGGGCGGTGTGAACAGAGGGGATGGAAATGAACTGCTTATCCCTGAAATTTTACAAATGTCCTTGTTTTGTTTTTCCCCTCCCTTAAAGTTCAGACCTTTGGGCTCTTGGATGTATAATATACCAGCTTGTGGCAGGACTGCCACCGTTCAGAGCCGGGTAAGAGAGACCCCCAACCCCCAACCCCTACCCCACACCTCTGCCCATTGAAACAGCCAGAGAGACAAGTGGGAGGGGGCGGGGCCAAGGGGAGGGGACTTCACGATGATTCTAATGAACACAGTGGCTCTGTCGGGAGAGAAGGAAACCACTGTCCCAGGAAACGTTCAGCTCTATCCTGGGGAGGTTTGTATGACCCTGCCCAGAATGATGGTGTCTCTTATTTTACAGAAACGAATATCTTATATTTCAGAAGATCATTAAGTTGGAGTATGACTTTCCTGAAAAATTCTTCCCTAAGGCAAGAGACCTTGTGGAAAAACTTTTGGTAAATATTTTGAATTTTCTTCTGGTGAGATGACCTGGGAGCCACAGCCTGAGCCCCTCTGAACCTCTGGTCAGAGACTTTCCCGGAGGCACCTGGGTTTAATAAAAGGCTTTTGGAGGGTTGATAGTGATTGTAGGTAGATTCGTATCTCCTATCTCATCTTATTATAAACCCTTGTCAATTTCCAGATGCCTGATTCTTGACCTTAATAAAACAGGAAATCACTGTATCATTTTGCATTTGCTCATCAGCATTCATAGCATTTTGAGTTACCTGATGCTGGAGCAAGGGGTATATTACAATGGCAGGTGGCTGTAAATCCTGCTTGGTGACATCTGTGGGTATCAGCTCGAGAGTCAGCTACATGAGGCTAAGATCAACCCAGATAACATAGCAATGATGAATAGACTTACCCAGGAGAAGTAAGTCTGCTTATGCTCTAGAAACTGCAGTGTCCCTGTCCCTGGGTCTTTGGCTGTAGACCTTCCCTCAGCTTGATCTTGGGGAAGCAGGGTCAGTCCTGCCCCGGCGGTGGGAGAACGCCGGAGTCGGCCGCTTGCCACCTGTCCCTCCTGTGTCTGTCCCCTCAGGGGGCGGGGGAGCGCAGCTGAACCCCAGAGGAAACAGCTATGGGGCCCCGTGAGATCAAGAGCTGGTGGGAGACACAGGCGCTTTGCTCCCTGTCTGAGTTTACCATGCAGACAAATTCTTTGTTCTTTGCTATTAAAGCCGTTACGATCATCGTTTCCTTATGTTAGGATTTCTGATTGTGTATTTTGAAATAATACTTGCTGCTGTTCATTAAATTTTGAGGTGGTGATTTCCTTTCACCTCGGGGAGGGAAAGGGGCAGAAACCCTAGTGAAGTGTAAGGAACCCCAGAGGGTGACTCAGTATTTCCCCGGCCTACAGTGGGATGGGCCACCTGCCCTTTCTATTTCCAGGAGATACTCAGCATTGAAAAAAAACTACTCAACAAGAATTTTTATTCTGGGGGACGGGGTCAGAAGTACTTTTTAAACGTGACACTGACTTGTCTTGACTTTCGTTTAAGGTTTTAGATGCTACGAAGCGATTAGGCTGTGAAGAAATGGAAGGGTACGGCCCCCTGAAAGCTCATCCGTTCTTTGAGTCCATCACGTGGGAGAACCTGCATCACCAGACACCTCCGAAGCTCACAGCTTACTTACCAGCCATGTCGGAAGATGACGAAGACTGCTATGGAAATGTAAGCCCGCTCACATGTCAGAAGCAGCCCATGCAGAGATGAGTTCTGCTGGTCCTTCTTTGTGAAAATGGTTCTTCTGTGCACAGGGGGTTTGTGCCCACGGGCCAGGGGACTCCGATTCGCAGGATGCGTGGCTGAAGGGGAAGCCAGCATAGATCTGGTGGGGGGTGAACACTCCATGGCCCCCAGTCTGAGTCTCACAGACATTGGGCCCAAAGAGCCTGCTTGTCTGCTTGTCTTCCCTGAGTGCGGGTTCCTAGGCCCTGGATTGTGCGAGTCCCTTTTTCTCATTTCCTCTAGTTAATTTTCCCCCTAAGTGGTCAAACTGGAGTGAGATGGTGGGTGGGGGCGTCTGGAGCCAGTGGGCGCAGCACCCTCCACCTGTCTCCTTTGGGCTTCTGGGTGCCAAGTCTCCAGCTGGCATCTGTCTTCTGCTCTTGATTGGAGCCTTTTTCTCGTGGATCTAAAGACATTCTTGAATGCTTCTGATCTTGCCAGGAGAAGCCCAGGGTGCTGCTGCTTTGAACTTTTGGGGGACGTGACATTGAGGACGGACACTGGTGACGACTGGTGGCTTTTAGTGCCTGGTAGAAGCAGGGACTGGTATAGGCGCAAGGGGCGCAGCGCCCGGGCGTCTGTGGGAGGCTGTGGTCATCTCCTTGACCTCAGAGGTAGGGTCTAAATGCACTTTGTTCTTTAAACTTTTCTTATGGAAAATGGGAGGCATATGGAGGTGGACGGAGGGGTCCAGTGAGCTGTGTGCACCATCCACCCACCTTCAGCCACCAGCACATGGGCAATCTGTACCCCGCTCATCGCCCTTTACCACGATTCCCAAAAACCTAGGATTTTAGTTGTTTTTATTACCATTGCTAGTCCATCTTTCTGGTTTGATTGCTGTCATGTGGCTTATTGTAACCAATTATCACATGTAGAGTTCCACTTTAGTTGATGTGGGAATTCTAGGTTTTATCTGAGAGTCATTCAGAGCCACATTAAAATTATGACTGGTGTCACCCCTCAGAGATGAAGGCTCCCTGTGTCTCCTACCTGCTGTTGTAAGCAACAGTCCCCTTTGCTTGTTCTAAGATGTCCTTTGTGTCCATACGGGAAGGGATCCTGACCTGCTTCCTTGCTGCGGTATCCAGGACCATCCACAGCCCCTGCATGGCCCACTGCAGAGGGCTCAACCTCAGGACTTCCTCCCCAGCAGAAGCGGGTTAGGGTCTCCAGTGCCTTCGGCAGGAGGGGGTCCCAGGGAGAGCGCACACTGCTAGCCGAGCTCTGACGCAGCACCCAAGATCTCAGTGCTTGGGGAGCTCTGCTGCATGTAGTATGTGTGCTTGCTTGTGTGTATGCGTGTGCATGCACACCTGAGTGTCAACGCACACACACCTGAGTGTCGTACGGGCCCTCTGCTGTCTCATCACCTTCGCCATGTTGAGAGCTCTGGCATCTCAGTCCTCAAATGTTACCACCTGAAAACCAGTTCCGCATGTTAACAGCTCACCTTTTGTTAGATGGCTCATCCTCAGCTCTAAAGGCCGTGTGGTTTGAAAGCCTTGGGAAGTATTCAAGCAGAGCTCCCTATGCCAGGCTTTGGGACAGTTTAGTGAGCCTAGAAAGAGACTGTGACCTGGAAAGGTGTCAGGTACAGAGCAAACCTGCTCGGGGAGGCACTCCCTTCCCCTGGAGTATCTACAAGAGGAGGCCGTCTCATCCAGGAGGCTCCAGGAGAACCTGGTGTCTTGGACATATTCAGAATTGAGAAGAACTTGCCTGTGAAGCCAGGAGCAGAAACTGTCTTTATTCAGGGAATGAAGAGAGCGGGCACCCTGTTCTCGTCTGCGCCCCTAAACCCCCGCCTGTGGCTGCTGATGCTTGTGGCTGGACTCCGAGTGGGCCAGCCCAGGTGTGGTGCTCGGTGTTAGGCCAACACAGCCATGTGTTTCCTCCACTCTAACCCAGTGTCACCCCTTGTCACATGTACTTTCTGGGTCGCGTTTTGTGCTGTGGGTCTGTACTATTTGCTGCCGAGGGGAGGAGAGTAGAATGCAGAGAGAGAGCATCTGGAACTTTCCCTGGGAAGCAGTAAATGGAGCCCCCAAGACAGGACTCGCCCAGCAAGCAGCAGTCATGGTGGTCCCAGTAGCTCCACTATGGGAGCAAGGCAGCCACTGCATTTGAAGGACGCAGAGGACCAATTCTGAATTCAGTGTTGGCCATCGGGGTGTGACCTCGGGCCAGTCTGAGCCTCATTTCAACGTTTCAGAAATAGGGGTGAGGGTAACAGCCATCTCCCTGGCTTTGCAGGCTCCTTGAGATAGCCAGGAGGCTCATGAAATCCTCTATAAATTGTGAGACCCTGCGCAAAGAATGTGCCAGAACAAGGCCTTTGACGGAGGGGCCACAGGAGTGTCCTGGGGTCACTCCCACCTTGGAGCCAGGACGGTGGGGCTGAGGCTGCTGTCTGAGCTGTGTGAGCTCATGGGAGAAGGCTGCCCGGGCAGCACGTGAGGAGGGTGGGCGCAGGGCCTGCAGGAGGGGCCAACCCGCTGGAGACACCTGGGACTTGGAAGGATGCGCTGTGCCCTCATCTCACCCATTGCTTGTGACTTCATTTCTTTTCCCTTGTCATTAGTGGCAGCGTGACTCAGGTATGGGGCCCACAGCTGTGGAGGGTAGGTGGGTTGGGTGGGGGCAGGCTGTCCAGGGTGGCTGTTCCTCCCCAGCTCTTTGCCGGGGCTCCCTGGCCCATTCGTGGCCCAGGAGTGTGGGAGTGCACACACTCTGCTATTGGTACATTTGTGAGTCATTCCGTTTTCTGTATCACCAGTTTGTAGCTTTCTCCAGTATAACAGGCAACTTGGTCTATTTCAAGCTTAATGAATCTTTGCTGGGATTAAAAGTGTTTTTGTTTGTTTTTTTATTGAACACAGTCAATTTGGAATATGTAATGACAGTCACAGACTCAGAAACAGGACCACGGGGCCAAAGGAGGAGGGCCCAGAGCTCGCAGTCTTGCCACTGAGCCTCTGCACCCAGCAGGGCCAGTCCTCCGGGGCCACATGCTCAGTTTCTCCTCTTCCCAGAAGGCGCCCCAACCACCTCTACTTGGGGTACAGGGGGGCGGGGCTTGCAGAGGTCTCCCCTTCCCCGAGGTGGAGACTGAGCGTTAGCCCCTCTCTGGGGCGAACATCTTCCAATGTTCCCCTGAGAAGGGGCTCAGAGCAGGCGGGATCGAGCCCTGCCCTGCTTCAGTGGCCAGCCATCCCATGGAGGAGAAATGCCCGCACTTGCTGGAGACGCAGAGCCGGCTGCAGCTCCGAGGCTCGTCTCCCATGGGACCTCGGGGCCTCGAGCTGTGGGCCTGCTGGTGTAGGACAGGTCAGAGTGTATCTGCGTCTGTGGACTCGGGGGAAAATGGAGGCACTGATGATCACACATTTCCCTCCCCTCTCTGCAGTATGACAATCTCCTGAGCCAGTTTGGCTGCATGCAGGTGTCATCGTCATCTTCCTCCCACTCCCTGTCTGCCTCAGACACGGGTGTGCCACAGAGGGCCGGCAGCAACATCGAGCAGTATATCCATGACCTGGACACTAATTCTTTTGAACTGGACTTACAGTTTTCCGAAGATGAGAAGAGGTTGTTATTGGAGAAGCAGGCCAGTGGAAACCCTTGGTAAGAATTTATAGGCACAAGCAGTGCTCCCTTTAGAAACGCAGAGTGCAAAGCCTGGGAACGCGAGCAGGCATGCCGTCCTCATTACTGCTGCCCGTGAGGCTCCCACAACCGCCACTAACACTCGTCAGTAAGGACTCGCCAAGGGTCCAGATGCTCAGAGGCGTCGGGCTGGGGGCGAGAGGGTTTGGGACTCCCCGGGCTCAAGCCCTTGGGACCCAGCGGGCCGGGCATCCCTGTTCGGATGTGGATTCACTGTGATTTAAATAACCACTGCCCTGTGGTGAGAAGTTTGGGTGTTCTGGAGTTTTGTTATTGCAAGTCATCCTTTGCACATGGCTTTTCCCACATGTCTGATTATGTCTCTTAAGGTGGAGGCTTGGGGTGGCAGGTGGAGTGGGGATGTGCATATTAGGAAGGCAGTGCTTTATATCCAAAGTGCCTGAGAACCCCTATTTCCCAGCAGCCGTGCCTGCCCTTGAGTGTTTTGAGGCTCTGAAAATGGGCTTATGTGAATTTGCATTTGTACAGGTACTCTTATCAGGCAGACATCTATGTTCATTGGCCATTTGTATTTAGTTTTTGAGGTACTCTGTGTCCTTTGACTATTTTTCCTCTTGTATATTTTGCATCTTTTTAAAATGGACTTTTAAGGGGCCAGCCGAGTGGCTCAGTTGGTTAAGAGTTGGCTTAAGAGTGCGAGCTCTGAGCAACAGGGCTGCCGGTTCGATTCCCACATGGGCCAGTAACGCTGTGCCCGAGCTGAGCTGTTGCTGAGCTGCCAACAGGTGGCAGGATGGCTCAGCTGGTGTAACAACAAGATTGCCTGTTCGATGGTGGCCTATGCCCACCCGCAACTAAGACTGAACTTGGCACCTTGAGCTGAGCTGCCGCCTGGATGGCTCAGTGGATAGAGTGTGCGCTATTAACAACAAGGCTGCCAGGTTCGACTCCCGCATGGGATGGTGGCTACGCCTACCCACAACTAAGACTGAACTCGGCACTTGAGCTTAGAGGCCACGAGCTGCTGACGGGCAGCCAGATGGTGACTGGCGCCCTTCACAGCGAAGATTGAACAACTTGGCCAGTCCCCTTGCCCAATTCTCCAACACTGTTCCCCTTCCACAAATTCCCCAATTAAAAAAATAAGGGGGGAGCCGGCCAAGTGGCGCGATGGTTAAGAGCTGGCTTGGGACGCCAGAGGCCCCCGGTTCGGATCCCACATATGAGGGCCAGTGACACTGCCCTCTACAAAAAAAATTAAAAAAAAATAATGGACTTTTAAGAGCCATAGATATGGAGAATACCTCCGTGTATATTTTGCAAATATTTTTCTTTAGTTTATCTCTTCGGTCTGCTTGTGCATGTTTTTGTATGAAAGTAACAGATTCTCACAAAGTCAGACCTGTCCGTGTTTTTATTTTCTGTTGGCATCTCGATGATGTTGAGAAGTGCTTCTCTACCCTGACATTGTCCTCATACATTTTGATGGTTTTCCATTCCGCATGGGCAGAGAGGAGCTCAGAGCTGGGGGGCAGGAGGGCAGTGTCTTCCAGGAAGGTGTGTTGGGGTAGGAGGCTCTGTGGTGATGTACAGAGAAGCAGGGCAGGATTTGAAGGTTCAGCTCAGCATGAGAGAGGCCACGTTTGGCTTAGGAGCTTTTGTGTGGAGGAGGAATGCCGGGAGGAGGTGGGTGCAGGGGAAGAGCAGCACTTGGGTGAAGCTAGGGTTTGTGTTACTAGAAATTACTATGTCTAGCAAAAGTGAGTGTAGATGGTGGCCATCTGAAATGCTCTGCACTACTCAGGAGTCTGTAGTTTCTAAAGTGCTATTCATAGGGGTATGAATATGTACTGAGCAGGAGGGAAGGGCTTTGATCAAAAGTCTGAGAACTGGTGGGCCACACAGCTCCAGGCAGGTCTGCCTGGGTTGTCCAGTAGCTTCCTAGTGACACCTGCTGTGTCCCTCCGAAAGGCTTGGCCGTGAGCAGAGCAAGCAAGAGGTACTATTGCAGGCATGTGGGTGACTTCCCAGAAGGCCCGCAGGCCCTTCACCCTGCAGTTCTGGGCAGGATGGAGCCACTAGCAGCAAGTCACAGCTTCTGGCCTCTCGCCTGCTTTTTCTTCCGGGTTCTTTCCCTTTCCTTTATGTTCAGGCCCATTTGGAGGCTGGTGACTGCAGATTGCTTGAGGCATCTCTTACTTGGCCAGTAGGAGATCTGTCAGGCACTTTGGTCTTTAGAACAGTGGTTCTCCGTATGGCCCATGGACCATAATACTAATTTTGTAATACTATTAAAACGATACTTGCTTTTTTCACTTTTACTCTCTATGAATGTAAGGTTGAGGTTTTCAGAGGCCACACACTGTAGGGTGACATTATTGCTTTGACGGCTAATGGAATGTATGTTTTCTTGTCTGTTGGGAATCTTCTAAAGAAGTAGGTTTGCAGTGTAAACATGTGCTGTCAATCGGAAACAAAAAGCCGGCTAGGTATTCCGTCCTCAATAAAGGAATCCTTCAGGAAAAGTAAGATTGTAATTTGGTATGTGCAGACATGGAGAGCCACGTGCAAGAAGCAGGGTGTTCTTTTACAGGGGAAAGGAAGTTAAGGGGCGGGACTGTTTAACCATAGGCTCTGCTGTAACCCTGGAGTTCTTCCTGGGGGGCTTTGGCGCCGACATAGTGAGTGAGAGCCCCTCCCTCAGGCGCTCCCTCCCTCCCTCCAGATTCCTGTCCTGGTTAAGGCATAAATTCTGACAGTGCACTTTTAGAAAATAAGCTCTCATATTTCTACTGGGCTCTTGATAACTATCTTCCATTATACCTGCTATAATTACTGCACGTTTGTATCATTTAATAAGTCATTGCTTTGGAATCCTGAAGTTTTCCTTGTGTCTACATGGAATTACAATAAGAAGTAAGTACACTTTGTTTACTTGTTTTACAATGTTAAAAAATTTCCCAAAAACATTTGTAAATTGTACCTGCAACTATTTTAGATTTTAATGATCTATTCTAAAATGGAAGAACATTTATAATATGTTTTTTCACATGTAAATATGGATCATTGACTTACAAAGGGAGAAGAATTATTTTCTTAACCCACAGCAGCACCACCTGAGTATAAAGATTCTAAAAAGGGGCCGGCCGAGTGGCACGATGGTTAAGAACTGGCTTGGGAC